CCCTACACGCAGCAGAGCCAAAAAAACGCGGCCAACGTACCAATACAGAGGTACAGGGTCAAAAAACCCACCAACCCCTAAACCCAAATCTTAATCTTAAACACTGCATTGGGGTAGCTTTGAAAAAACCACGTAAGTTTGAAAGCATTATCTTTAGGAAAAGAAAAAAGAAAGCTGGCAGGAGGGAGGGCAGAGGGGAAGCCGAGCTTTGCAACGTCCAGGCACAAGAATTCGGAGCAGCTCGGCAGGGCACGCACGCAAAATATGCCCACGCAAGCAGTTGCCACCGGAGAGGGGAGGCGGGCACCGCTCCTCTTCAAACACTCTGGAAATGCTTCAAGCCCCGCTGCTGGAATAACACGGGAAGGAGGAAAGGAAGCCGCTGCCTTTACAAAGCCGAGGACTATTTTTATTAGTGTGCTTGGAAAAAAAACCCAAAAACAAACAAACAAAAATATCTAGAGAACATTTTACAGACATGTCCATAAAATCGTTTTATAAACAAAACGCCAGCATACAAAATCCTGCAGTGCTTCCTCCCTTGCTCCCTACAAAATGATTGTCTCTCGTTAGTCTGTGTGTCAGGTGGGGGAGAGGAGGATAAATAGAAGGGGATGCCCCGTACTCAAACTTTGTTTCCTTCCAAAGTTGCATGGAAGAAGTAAACTGCTGCGACCCTCCTTGGTTTACAAAAAATAATGAATACGGTGTGTCCACGGGGGCGGATCGACACCTCAGCCCAAATCCACAGGAGCAGCACCTGAGCCCTGAACCCCGGCTCAAGCGCTCCTGGTCCCCGTGACTCCAGAGCCCCGTTATTGCATGAAAAGCAGGTTAGTGCCCCCCTCCACACAGCTTAACGCTGCAGCTCCTTTCACACCCAGAAAACACCCTCCCACCCCCCCAAAAAAAATTATCAGCGACAGCCCTGCAAGGAGAAACAGGCTGTAGGGGAATGCGGAGTTTAAACACGGCCACATTTCCCCCCCCGCCAACCTTCACAGCGCTTGTTTATCCTGCCCACAACATAAAAACAGAATAAACAACATCTCCTCCAGCCCCAGGACTAATCCGGCTAAATCTCCCAGGCTGCGACTCCACGCAGAGCCAACTGCAAGAGCAACAACCGCACCGCTCATTAATTTGTGGTCGAATTTATGGTTTGGAAAACAGCCCTTTAAGGTCCTTCACGGTTCAGCTCAGAAGTAGTTTCATACCTGCAGTACCCAGAAAGGAAACAAAGGGTTGGCCTGAGGCAGCCAGGGAATTTGGCAAGGGTCGAGAGCGGGCGCTGGTGTGCTCTTCCCATCCCAAATGTTCCCACCGTGCTACGCAGGGAGAGATTCTGCAGAAGCAGCTCTGTCTCGCCTACTTTTGAAAAGTCTCATCCACCCAGGAAACGCTCCTGAGCTGCCCCGGTGGGATCAGTCCTCTCCCACTGTCCTTGTGCCACGCGGTGAGGCTGCCAAGGGAAAAAATAGGTATGTGGGAGAAAGGGAACGGGGACACAGATCTCCCTCCCGCTGCCTGATCTATCTGGAGGAAGGAGAAAGCCTCCCCAACGAGCTCTACTCTTCGTCTGAACCTGAGAAAAGATCAAAACCAGCAAGAGGCAAGGGGAGCCTCGAGCTGGCAGATAGTTCGAGCCCTCAGCACTTTCTGCGGCTGAACAGGGAAGAAAACAAGGACTTACAGAGACAGGTTCTCACCACTTTGCGGGCAATGAAACACGAGCGATGACGCAACCTGCCATGATCACGGAATAACCGTGGCATAGCTGGGAAGGGATCCCTTTTCCCCGCCCTTTCCTTCCCATCCCTCAGCCACCAGCTCTGGCAGCCTCCTTGCCAGCTGCAGAGAAGCAGATGGGTGAGAAGAATCATCGTCTTCCATGTTCCTCCTGCATCCAAAATTCGGGGGAACAGTAAAGCTCTTCAGTGTATGTTCCTAAGGTGTGACCCAGTCAGCATTCGCCTGAGGAACACTTCTGCAAGGGTGAGAGCGAGGGAGGAGCATCCCTGCTGCGCTGGGACTCGCTCACCTGCATAAACAAAGCAATGACCTGGCTGAGGACTAACCAGCAGCACTCTCTGATGCCCCTAAGCTCTCCTTAACCCAGAGACAGGCAGAAATAAGTCAGCCTTGGAGCTGCAAACCCTTCCATTTCTTCCTCCTACTCATCTATCCGAGCTAAGGACCAGCCAGAGATGTGCCGTTTACAGAGCAGGTGGCCAAGTGGCAGAGGTCAAGAGCCACCATCACCCCGCAGAATCCTCCCCCTCGCTGAACAGAGACGGGAGCTTTGTGGTTTCCAGAGGTGATCCCAATCCCAGGCAGCGCCACGGGCAGAACTGACCGGCAGCGATGCAGATATTGGATAGCTACAGCAGAGACAGAGTTTGTCTCCCCAAACTCTTGTCCCACCTACGGTGATAACACGATGAGATGCTGGCCCTCAAGTTCTGTCTCCAGCTGCCACAGAACTGCTCAGGGACAGCTAAATTCAATCATCAGAGCCGGATCTACTACAGGGAGTGCATCTAGGTGTGCCAAAAAAGGAGGGGGAAAAGCAGACTGCTCTTCCAAAAGTGCTGAAATTTCATACCACCTCCCCTGTCTTTGCATAAGGAAGGTGGAGAAGAAACAAAAACTCACTCCCTGATCTCTTATTCCTAGGTTAATGGTACCCTTTAAGCAGAAGAGATCTTCAAAAAGGGCAGAAGTTTTAATATCAAGCAGGTGGCTTCAGCGCGTTTCCTGCTGTTAATGGATTACACATCCCTTTCCCCAAGGTCTGTTAGGGGTAAGACAAACAGGGGGCTGGAGCCTGGGAAGCGGCTCAGAGGGAGAAGGTCTCTGTTCTGTCCGAGATGTTCGCTCTGTGCTGAGCGTGGGCATCACGCTCAATCTGTGTGTAGCAGCCCCACACAGAGTCCCCCGGGCGCTTTTTTTTGGCTCCCTAGGGGAAGAGATTTAGACCCTAAAGCCGAACAGTACACTGAACAGATCTATATACATCATCCCAATATATACGCTGTGAAGTAATACTCTAGGTTATTGCATAGAAGGCGGCTTGCGTTAGCTAGGCCTAAATGACGGTCTGGGAGCGTTGTCGGAGGCTCAGGGGCTTCAGAGAGCTGTTGGAAGCAGATGCAGGCTCTTGCGACGGTGTCTGAGATTCCTCTTTTCGGGAATGCTCCTCATACCATTCCTGCAACAAGGAGATCAAACACAGAGAGATCAGGCTCTGCCCCGCACCGGCCTCGCAGCCCCCCAGCAGGACCCCGAAGGGCAGAGCCCTCAGCTGCTCTGCCATGGGAGGGCACACGTGCTCAGGCACAGAGAGGCTCTTCCCAAAGCCCTGGATACAGCCTAACCTCCTGGAACCACCTGGTTAACTGCAGCACGGCTGTGATGGACGCAAAGAGACCTTGCCACCTGCAGTCTGAGCAAGAATTACCAGCTA